ATGTCGACTCGCTAACAGTGTGTCAGCTGGTGCTGACTCGGCTTTTGTTCTTACCCGCCGTGGTGCCCAGCCACAGCAGGCGCGAACCGCCGACCCCTCGGATGAGAAGCCGACACGTTACCACTGAACTAGCCTGGAGGCTTGTGGCTTAGTAACTTAGTGGGATTACATCACGTTCGCCACAGACGAAATTGTAGTGGAGGACGTAAGCGAGGGAAATCAAATAAGCCAATGACAATTGCACTTGGCTCTGTGGCGTGACAATAGACACTAGCGACATTATTAGTGCCAATAAGATACATAATTAGATAATCACGTGATAATAGAAGCCTCCGGGCTAGTACAGTGGTAACGTGTCGGCCTCTCATCCGAGGGGTCGGCGGTTCGCGCCCCGCCCAGGCGCGAGAAGTTGCAATTGTCGCCTGGAGGTTACTGCTGTGGCTGGGCACCACGGAGGGTAAGGATTAAGCTCATCCGAGTCAGCATCAGCTGACACACTGTTTGCGAGTCGACATTATTCGGCATAGAGTCAATGGCTAGGCCGTGTATAAGGTATTGTTTCGTATTTAACATGCAAATTGCCTTGAGAATGACAAAAATGAGCGGTAATAAAATATCGATGCGAGATCCAAATATTTGCCTTGGCTCTACCCTGCCGGATCATACGAGGTGGAACCCCACCCTGAAAGGGGGTTAGGGGGCGAAGCTCCATATCTACTGTGAATGTGTTTCGCAAAATCTAAATCACTGATCACCGATCATTCGTTTTTTTACCCTTCAATTTCCCTGTTACTTATTATGCCCCTCCCAGGCCGACAACGCAGCTGTGCTTCGTTTTCGAAGGAAAAGAGTGCTAGATTCGCTCGAAACACGATTTTACCATATATGCATATATATATATATATATATATATATATATATATATATATATATATATATATATATATACATATATATATATATATATATATATATATATATATATATATATATACATACATACATACATATATGTATAAATATAAATATATATGTAAGCGTAAGTGACCACCGCTGCCATCAGATGTAAGCGTAAGTGACCACCGCAAGCCACTAGATGTAAGCGTAACAGAGATGGTCTTAGGGCGGTCAATGAAAGGGGTCTTAACTTACTGGTTTATTTCTGAAGATAGAGACCCCCAAGAGACCCCCGTGTCCCCGGGTGGAGGACGAGGTGGTGGAGCTGTACCCTGTGTGGCTTGGCCTGTCCGCCGTCGTCTTAGGCACGTGCCCTTTTATGCGGCGATTTCCTTGGAGGGCGAATGTTTATTCCCGTGTGAAAAGTGAAAGGAAGGCAACACCTGCGTCCTGCGCAAGGAGAAAGGCCGCTGCTTGGACCGAGGTGTGAATCTGCCATCCGGTCCTTGCTACGTATTGTTCACATCGCTCGGCCGCGCGAAAGGCTCGTCCTCGAGCCGTCTGCAGCGCTTGAACACTGCAGTAGCAGATAGGGATACAGGTTCTGTTCGGTATCTACAGATGGTTCCTGGTTATCCGATGGTCGGTAGGGTCGTCGTGTGCCAGGGTAGCGGGTGTGGCGCAGGTTTCGCACTGAGGTGCAACATTCAGTAGCGAGGAGGGTCAATCATCTTCAGAAGCTGAAATATAAGTGTACCAGGCCAGTAAAAGGGCTAAGGAGGAGGATAATAATGTGTTTGTCAATCACCTTACTAAGCTGCAAGAAAAACATGAGGGCATAATAAGAATAATTTGTTACGAGAAGGGTAATGTGTCAAGTAAGTGAAGTAACATCTCGGTGCGGCGGGCGCAGGATTCATTTGTTTACGGCCATGAGCCGGGCTTAAAATTAACTTACGGTGATAATAATTATGTAAGCCTATATGAAGTATGGTCTCCTGTAATGCATTATCATCGTTATGATCATTTGCAAGAGACTACCATCAGTCAGATACAAGTTACATATTCACCAATTCCTTAAACTAAAGAAGCATAATTCTAGCATAGATGAGGATAAGATATCAAACCTCGAGAGGACGTCATGAAAGCGATTTGGGTTCATTTGAAAGTCTTAGGGATGGCACTTAGTAAAAATCATAATCCTAGAGTGAATTCCGTGTAGGGTGGGCAGGTAGGTGGGTTTGGGCCTAAGGCAGGTAATCGACATGTATCTTAAACCTATGTGTGAAAAAAGCGAACGATTAGCGTGGGAAGTATAAGAAAATACAGGTGTAGTGAAAGACCAAACGCTATACGCACATTCATAGAGGAAGCAGTAACGAAGCACTTATTAATACGGTACAGTATGCAGGTGAAAACAAAAATCGTAGCATTAAATATGAAAAACATACCGGGGAAAATCGAACATATCTAAACATACTTATTTGTTCTAAGAAAAAAAATATAATGAACTGTAATGTGAGGACAACAAATATAAACATTAGATAAACACCAATAGCAGAAAAATATCATAGCAATTAAAATATGGTTAGGGAAGGGGAATGAGGTGTGAGGTGTGTCACTTTGATCTCAGTGTGTGACTTCGCTTGTTGTATTGAAAAAAAAACAATGGTTGACAGCG